TTATTTATAATAGCCAAAAAGTGGAATCAATCCAAATGTCCACCAACTAGTGAATAGAAAAACAAAATGTTTTTCTATTCATCAATAAAAAGGAGCAAAGTACTGATATATGCTACAAACGGATGTACTTCAAAAACCTTATGCTCAGTGAAAAAAGACAAAAAAGGTCACATATTGTATGATTCCATATACATGAAATGTACAGAAAAGTCAAATCTATAGACATACAAAGTAGATCAGTGGTTGTCTGGGCTGAAAGTGGGAATGGGAATTGACTGCAAATGGGACAAGGGACCTTTGCGGGGGTGATAGGAATGTTAAAAAATTGGATTGTGATGATGGCTGTACAACTAAAAATAATTGTACACTTAAAATGGGTAAATTTTACAGTATGTAAAGTCCTTTTAAAAATACATATGAAGATAGTTTTTAATTACAAAAAGAAAAATAGTGTGGAGAAACCTGGTAGACACCACCTGAATAAAGTGATCAGTTAACATCACTAGAAAAGCGGCAGACCGACAACATGTGCCTCCTGATATGATGTCCTGAGAAGAACAAGTCATCATTTCTGGGGTATTCCTTCTCCAAAAATACATGTTCGGAATTGAATCATAAGAAAACATCAGACAAATCCAAACTGAGCACCATTCCGTAAAATAATTGGCCTATATTCTTCAATGATATCAATGTCATGAAAATCAAAGACAGACTAAGGAATTATTCCACATTAAAGGACACTATAAGAGGCATGGCAATTGAATGCAATATATGATTCAAAAAATTTTTTTTAATTTTTGCTTTAAGGGATATTAAAGCAATACATAAAATCAGAATAAAGTCTATACTAAGTGAGTGTTGTATTAATGTTAATTTCCTAATTTTGATGCTTCTTCTGTGGTTTTATTTAAGAGAATGTTCTCATTTTTACTACTGACTCCATGATCTACTCTCATACAGTTTAGGAAGAAAAAAATACACAGAGAGAGAGAGAGAGAAAATAAATGATAAAATGTTAATTGCTGGGTGAAGAGTATATGGGAAGCCTTTGTTCTATTCTTCAAAAATTTCTGTATATCTGAAATTATATCAAAATAAGTTAAAAGAAAAACAGTGAGTGTATGCTATAGTTACAGTTTTTTAAAAATAGATATGCATCTGTCATGGATTGAATTATGCCCCCAAAAAAATGTGTGTTATCAGTTTGGCTGGGCCATGATTCCTGGTATTGTGTGATTTTCCTATATGTTGTAAATCCTGCCTCTGTGATGTTAATGAGGGAGGATGGGAGGCAGTTGTGTTAGTAAGGCAGGACTCAGTCTACAAGATTGGATTGTGTTCTGAGGCAATCTCTTGAGATATAAAAGAAGTGAGCAGAGAGACAGAGGGACCTCATACCAAGAAAGCAGTGCCTGGAGCAGAGCGTGTCCTTTGGACCTGGGGTCCCTGAGTGGAGAAGCTCCTAGTCTGGGGGAACACTGATGAGAAGGCCAACAGAGGCAGAAAGCCTTTCCCTGGAGCTGATGCCCTGAATTTGGACTTTTAGCCTACTTTACTGTGAAGAAATAAATTTCTCTTTGTTAAAGCCATCCACTTGTAGTATTTCTGTTATAGCAGCAATAGATGACTAAGACAGCATCTGAGCAAAGTTAGATAAAAACACAAATGAAAAATATGTCAGAATGATATGAACATGGGGCAGATAATTTCTTGTTGAATTTTTTTAAATCGAACAGTTCTTATACTGGAAATGAACAGACACATGAGGAAATGCCAATTGATAAAGGAATAAAAATGAAAGCAACTTTAAATTTATTCATTTAGGTCTAAAATTGGAAAAGGTGTGCAGCAGGGTTGTAGTCTTTCACCATACTTATTCAATATGTAAGATGAATAATCTGAAAAGTTGGACTAAATCAAAAAGAATGCAGCATCAGGATTAGAGGAATACTAACCCTAACCACCTGTGATATGCAGATGACACAACCCTGCTTGCTGAAAAATGACGATGACTTGAAGCACTTACCGATGAAGGTCAAACATTAAGGTCTTCAGTATGGATTACACCTGAACATAAAGAAAATGAAAATCCTCACAAATGGACTGATAAACAACATGATAAATGGAGAAAAAACTGAAGCTACCAAGGCTTTCATTCTGCTTGGAACAATAATCAATGACTGTCTTAGTTATCTAGTGGCTGCTATAACAGAAATACCACAAGTGGTTGGCTTTAACAAACACAAATTTATTTTCTCACTGTTTACCCATTAAACCCATAGCCTTTAATTCTGACTCATAGTGACCCTAAAGGACAGAGTAGAAATGCCCTGTAAAGTTTCCAAGGCTGTAAATCTTTATGGAAGCAGACTGCCACATCTTTCTCCTGCAGAGCAGTTGGTGGGTTTGAACTGTGGAACTTTCAGTTAGCTAGGAGGCTAGAGATCCGAATTCAGGGTGCTAGCTCTAGGAGAACGCTTTCTCTGTTTGCTCTCGGAGAGGGTCCTTGTCTCTTTTCAGCTTCTGTTTCTTGGTTCCTTGGAGATCTCATGTAGCATGGCATCTATCTTCCCCATCTCAGCTTCCTCGCTTGGCTGCTTGCTTAATCTGCTTTCTTATATCTCAAGAGATGATTTAAGACACACCCTACACTAATACTGCCTCATTAACGTAACAAAGAAAATTCTATTCCCAAATGGGATTATAACCTCAGGTACAGCAGGAATTGTAACACATAGTTTTTGGGGACACGATCCAATCCATAACAATGCCAAAGGAAGCAGCAGTCAAGAAATCAAACAATATATTGCATTGGGCAAACTGGCTGCAAAAAAACCTCTTTCAAGTTCTAAAAAGCAAAGATGTCACTTTGATGACTAAGGTGCACCTGACCCAAGCCATAGTCTTTTCAATCACCTCATATGAATGTGAAAGCTGGACAATGAAAAAAGAGGGCACAAGAATTGATGCATTTGAATTGTGGTGTTGGCAAAGAATATTAAATATACCATGGACTACCAGAAGAATAAACAAATTAGTCTTAGAAGAACTACAACTAGAATGCTCCTTAGAAGCGAGGATGCCAGCAGGGCCTCAGCTCGCTTACTTCGGACACTTCATCAGGAAAGATCAATGGCTAGAAAAGGACATCAAGGCTGGTAAAGCAGAGGGTCAGTGAAAACGAGGGAAGCCCTTAATGAGATGGACTGACACAATAGCCGCAACAATGGACTCAGATGTACCAACTGTCGAGAAGATGGCACAGGACCAGGCAACATTTTGTTGTTATACATAAGGTCACCATGAGTCAGAGCAACATACTCATTTCATGTTAAGTAGCAAAAGTTAAACAAAATTTTAATACCCAAAAAGTCTGGTGAAAATTATACATGTTTATTTACTGTTCTTGGCAATATAAATCAGCACAACCCACTTAAAAAGCAATAGAAGGCCCCGGATTCTCTGTTAGCCCAAAACTAAAACCATTCCCGAGGCCACTCTTCAGACAAAGATTAGACTGGACTATGGGACATAAAATGATACTCGTGAAGAGTGTGCTTCTTAGCTCAAGTAGATACATGAGACTAAATGGGCAGCTCCTGTCCAGAGGCGACATGAGACGGCAGAGAGGGTCAGGAGCTGGTTGAATGGACATGGGAAATCCAGGATAGAAATAAAGAGTGTGCTGTCACAGTATAGGGAGAGCAACTAGGGATACAAAACTATGTATACATTTTTGTATGACAGACTAACTTGAATTGTAAACTTTCACTTAAAGCACAATAAAAAAATAATAATAATAAAAAGCAATAGAAGTAAAAACTCTAATATGTTCAGATTCTTTGACACAGTATTTTCACTTCTAGGCACTTATCTTAGAGTCTTTGATAATAGAAATAAAATATCATGAAGATACTCTTGGCAGCATAATCTATGATAGCAAAAAAAAGAACAACAAATGTCAAAATGTAGTGAAATGTTTTAATAATGTGATTCATCAACAAAATAGAAAACTATCTTAAATACTAAAATTATGAAGACTACAGATATATAGAAAAATAGAAAACTATATACATTGATTACAAACATGTAAACAATTTTAAGACTATAAAGCAATATGTAAAAGTGAAAAGCATGTACAAGTAGTGTAATAATTTTTTCAATAAAAGAATATTATAACATAAAATTGTGTTGCATTTGGCAAAACAGATTAGGCATGTGTAACTACTGCCCGTCCACTGCTCTGATTTCTCCCAAAATTTAAGCATGAGATAGTAATCCCTAGGTTTGACTTTTGGCATCTTAGAATATATCTACTTCAAGAAGCTTCACAAAATTTTCATCAATCCTCATCAAATTAAAACAATTAATTTTGAATGTTTTTAATATTTTCATAATAAATGTTTTAGAAAATTAATTCACGGAGAGATAAATTTCAGCCATAACATCTTTAGAAAAAAGTGGATTTAGGAAATCGGATAAACCACAGGACAGCAAGAAATCAGTGCAGAGGTTGGAAACTTTGCTCTGAGGGGACCAAAACATACTCAGGGAGAGTCAAAACAGGCTTTTGTTTTTTTAAAAAGTATTTCTGATACCATGTTCATAGATGCTCACAGAGGATCTCCCTCTGGAGAATCTAGAAACAAAGATGCTGACAGCCCCCTAAGGCAGGATCTGAAACAGGTGAGTTAAACTCCTGGGGACAATCTTAGCTGAGGAACTGGCAAGGGAAGTCCCCAAGTGGGCAGGTTTCAGTCACAGAGCCAGATCACTTACCTTCTCAAGCACTCAGGTTTTGTTTGCAGGCAGATGGTTTAAACAGAGCTCTCAGTCACCAAGAAAGTCTATGTTACCAGCTCATTAGTCTGACTACAAATACATCTACGAACACCACTGCAGCAGAACCTGTCCCTGGCCTAGGATCAAACCTGACAGATGCTGTGGATTAACTACCTACAAGGCTTCTCCCCTTTGAAGGGCCTCCCTCATCTTGTCAGAATTACTTCCCATGCCAAGTTCAATTGGTTCTTATTTCTCATTCCTTTCTGCTTCCCAAAGGCATTCTAGGGTTTGAATGGGAGAGCCTTAGTCACAAGGAAAAAGACCATGGGCTAAATTTTGCTTTTAGGATCACAGCATTTTAAAGCTGTGAAGGAGGGACCTTTTGTTCCTTAAAAGTTCTACACTGCTTCTCCAAGTAGGGTCTCTGAACTGGCAGCATCACCATCATGTGGGAGTTTGTTAGAAATGTAAATTCCTGGACCCCACCCGACCTACTCAATTAGAATCTACTGGGAGTAGGGCCCAGCAATCTGTTTCAACAAGCTCTCCAGCTAATTCTGACTCCTTAGAGTGAGAAGCACTGGGCTACAAGATCCTGTTATTAGACAACTATGCAAGAAAATAACTTAGCTATGTTATCAAACCGTATTTTAAAAAAACTTTTAAGAAATAACCTAAATACTCTAAAACCTCAGTATTTAAAAACATTTCTCCCAAAAGATACCCATTCTCCTTTTGTATGGATGACAAGGGACAGACAACACAGAGCTGACTGAGAAAGAGCTGTTTGCCCAGTCAATTCTCTTGTGAACAGACCAGGGAGAAATGGGAGAGTTTAGCTTGTAGCAGTCTCAAGGGCCTGTCCAGGTCAAAACTGCAGTGGGAAGTTGGCCCTAACTCCCGGCAGACCAGGCTAGTTCAAGGATCTTCTAGGGCAGATCTAGGGCAAATCTCTTGTGTAAAGGGCTACACAGTAAATATAAGGGCTAGGAAACAAAGAAAAGCCATGTAGTCTCTATTCAACTATTCAGCTCTGCCATTGTATCGCAAAAGAAGCCACTGACAATACATAACAATCCCTACGGCTGTGTTTCAAGATTTTATTTAACAAAAGAAGGTGGCAGGCTGGATTTGGCCTGAGCGTCCATAGTTTGCCAACCAGTCCTAGCGGGCAAGGGGTTTAGAGTTCCAACTGATGCAAGAACCTTGAGGCTACTCTAGATATCCCCCAGAAAAAGACCCCAAACTAACAATCTGAGATGCCTCTCTGGTCTAGAAACCTCCATACAGAGTCCCGGTCCCAGACTGGCTCCCATTGGGTAGGGCTTGGTGCAGGCGAAGCACGCTTCCTGCATTCTCTTCCCTCAGTGAAGCTTGAGCCCGGTAAGTAAGGACTACAGGCAGAAGTCACCATGAGCCTGAAAGCCTGAAGTGTGGGCTGACTCCACTAAGCAAAAGCAGCCAGACTGAGGACAACAGCGGAAAAGGTAGTCACATTTCCCTTTTTCCTCAGAGATCAGATGCTCACTTTAAAAGCTTTGCAAGTTTTACGGCTTATGTGTTAAGATTTTATTAAAAGTCAAAACCTGGATATATTTTGATTCAAAAACTACTTCACTACATACAAGAAAAGATAAACATTTAATAAACAAACATATACAGTTCGTGCAGCATAAGAAAAAGAGACTTACTAAGGCTGTGATTTTACCTTAACATGTTATACTGAATCTAACATGTTGCATTTTTCCAAATATATTTCTTGCCAAACAAAAATGGGGTTGTAGTCCCAATATAAGAAATGATCCTTACAGTTCTGATGTCCCTGTGCCAATTTTACGTATGTGATGCTATCCTTGTCCCAGTTCACTTATTTCCCAAAGAAATTAGCACTCATAATCCACACCTTTGATTTTACCAAAACAACAAAGAATTAAAACACACACATGTGCCTTTAAAGTTCTGTAATATGATGGACTTAAAATTCAAAACACTTTATGAAGGAAAAAAAAATGGAGTCTGATTTCAATCATCTCATTTATAATTTTTGGTGTCTTACTGGGAAGCTGTAAGATGTCCTTGAATAAGATCCTGCACACGGGACAGAATAATCTCATTAGAACTGATACAGTTTTCGGGACCATATGGTGGCTCTATAGTCAGGACCCTAGCCACACAGATAGTCCTTTGTGATTCTCCCTGTTCAGTGATGGGGATGTGGTTCTTCTCTAGCCATGTCTTTAGGCTGTTCTTTCTCTTTTCCAGATCCTCAGGGCTGTACGCTTGGCAGTCTCCAGACATGAACAAATGAATCAGCTTCTCTCTCACTCTATGATCTCCATCATTCACAGTTTCAACAGTCTGTACAGCATGTCCCATAACTCCAGTCACAGACATGCTGCCATCTTCAAGGAAGTTCACGAGGACAATACTTGGGAGGAAAAGTAAATTCAGAGCAGATTTGGGGGGGAAAGAAAAAATTAAAGGCCCATAAAACTATGGAGGAAGCAATTCAGTGAGAGGCATCATCAGCCCCAATACGAAAAATTAACTAAACCAAGTGACTAGAAAAAAAGGGAATGCTCTTTCTCTGTTTGAAATTAATCCTCTCACCACCAAATGCTTTCCCTTGTTCAGCAAGCATTCACTAAGGGTCCTAAACATCTAAACTTTTTACCCAGACTAAAGCTAATCATTGTGGGATACAGTTAAAGTATTATTTGAAGAGTTTATGAATGTCCTAAATGTGTATATTTAAAAAGAAAGCAGAGTACAAATTTAACTTTTAGTTAAAAACACAACAACTGGATAACTCTCCCCTCCCAAAACAGCCAAAAGAAAATAAGAAAGCACAAATTAATGAATAGAAAGTAAAAGGGTCCATTAAAAAAAAAAAAAAGATCATCAAGCCAAAAGTTTGTTCTTTGAAAAAAATACATAAAATTCACAAAACTCAGGCAAGATTGATAAAATAAAGAAAGACAGAGAGAGGGAGAGAAAAGAGAAGGCATATATAACTCTTAGAAACAAGGCAGCAAACTAACAACATACAAACTCCAGAAGATAAGCTAGATAACTGGGATCTTCTAAAAATTAAACACTTATGCTCATCAAACAACTTCACCAAAAGAGTAAAAAGAGAATCTACTGACTTGGAAAAAATGCTTGGCTATGACAAATCTGACAAAGGTCTAATCTCTGAAATGTACAAGAAAATCCAACACCTCTACAACAAAAAGACAAATAATCCTATTAAAAAATGGGCAAAGGAAATGAACAGACACTTCACCAAAGAAGACATTCAAGCAGCTAACAGACACATGAGGAAATGCTCGTGATCACTAGCCACTAGAGAAATGCAAATCAAAACCACAATGAGATACCATCTCACCCTGGAATTACTGGCACAAATCAAAAAAACAGAAAATAACAATGTTGGAGAGGCTGAGGGGAGACTGGAACTCTTATGTACTGCTGGTGGGAATGCAAAATGGTACAACCATTTTGGAAAACAATATGGCACTTCCTTAGAAAGCTAGAAACAGAAATACCATATAATCTAGCAATCCCACTCCTAGGAATATATCCTAGAGAAATAAGATCCATCACCCGAACAGACATATGCACACCCATGTTCACTGCAGCATTGTTCACAATAGCAAAAAGATGGTAACAACCTAGATGCCCATCAACAGATAAATGGATAAACAAACTATGGTACATACACACAATGGAGTACTATGCAATGATAAAGAACAATGACGAATCTGCAAAGCATCTCACAACATGGATGAATCTGGAGGGCATTATGCTGAGTAACATAAGCCAATCACAAAAGGACAAATATTGTATGAGACCACTACTATAAAAACTCATGAAAAGGTTTACATACAGAAAGAAACAATCTTTGATGGTTATGAGGGAGGGGTGGGGTGGGGGTGGAAAAACACTAAATAAACAACAGATAAGTGGTAACTCTGGTGAAGGGTAAGACAGTACACAATACTGGGGAAGCCAGCACAACTTGTACAAGGCAAAGTCATGTAAGCTACATAGACACATCCAAACTCCCTGAGGGACTCAATTACTAGGCTGAGGGCTGTGGGGACAATGGTCTCAGGGAACATGGAGCTCAACTGGCATTACATAATCTTTAAAGAAAATGTTCTATATTCTACTTTGGTGAGTAGTGTCTAGAGTCTTAAAAGCTTGTGAGTGGCTGTCTAAGATACTCCACTGGTCTCACCCCACCGGGAAAAAAGGAGAATGAAAAAAACTAAAGACACAAGGGAAAGAATTAGTCCAAAGGACTAATGTACCACAACAACCACAGCCTCCACCAGACTGAGTCCAGTTCAACTAGATGGTGCCCGGCTACCATTACTGTTCTGACAGGGACCACAGTAGAGGGTCCCAGACAGAGCTGGAGAAAAATGTAGAACAAAATTCTAACTCACAAAAAAGACCAGACTTACTCGCCTGACAGAGACTGGAGAAACCCTGAGAGTCTATGGCCCCCGGACACCCTTTTAGCTCAGTAATGAAGTCACTCTTGAGGTTCACCCTTCAGCCAAAGATTAGACAGGCCTATGAAACGAGACTAAAGGGGCACATTAGCCTAAGAGCAGGGACTAGAAGGCAGGAGGGGACAGGAAAGCTGGTAATAGGGAACCCAAGGTCGAGAATGGAGAGTGCTGACATGTGGAGTTGGTAACCAATGTCACAAAACAATATGTGTACTAATTGTTTAATGAGAAGCTAGTTTGTTCTGTAAAACTTCACCTAAAGCACAATAATAAATTTTTAAAAAAAGAGAAAAGGTGGCAGAAATTAAAATTGGAAAATATAAAGAACAGATTTATTCAAATAAGTTTGAAAACTTAAACAAACTGAAAAACTTCCTAGAAAATTCCAAAAAATGTAAATAATCCTACCATCTTAAAAGAAAGAAAAAAAATGTACTAGTTAAAAATCTTCCCATGAGGGGGAAAAACAGGTCCAGACAATTTTACAGGCAAGTTCTACAAAATTTTTAAGGATCATATATTTCCAATTTAATCAAATTCTTCTAGAGATACAGAAGAGGGACTACACCTTAACTCATGTAACAAAGCTGGTATAACCCTGACACAAAAACAGAGAACAGGATGAAAAAAAGAAAACTACAAGTTTATCTCACTCATGAATATAAATGCAAAAATTCTAAATAAAATATGACATGATAGCACAAGAAGGGAATTTCACCTCTGTAGTAATCTTCGCCCAAACCAATAACCCCAGTCTATTCACGAGAAAACATCACATAAACCCAAATTTAGGGACATCCTACAAAATACCTGACCAGTACTCTCAAGAACTGTCAGGGTTATGAAAGACTGAGAAAATATCAGAAACTGAAGAGACTAAGTAGACATGACAACTAAATGTAAGAGGGATCCCACACTGGATACTGGAACAGAAAAAGGCCATTAGTGGAAAAACTGGCAAAATTCAAATAAAGTTGGTAGTTTAGTCAATGCAAACTATTAGTTTTGACAAATGCACCACGGTTATGTAAGACGTTACCACTGGCGGAAGCCAGGGGAAGGATATAAAGGTACTCTCTGTACTTTCAACTTTTCTGTAAATCTAAAATTATTACAAAATACAAAATGTGTGTATGTGTATCTATACCTTTGCAGTATTCTTGCAAAAAATAAATCTGACACTAATCAAACCTCTAGATCTAAACACCAGTTTATAGGATATACGGGGAATAAAGAACTTGTTAAACTACACCATGAGGAGCAATGAACTAAATTCAAAATATGCTCAATTTTACAAGACAAATGACCTAGTTTCTTCAACAAATAAATGGCATGGAAAACAAAAAAGAGGAGAAAATGCAGTTAAAAGCTGAGATACTTAAGAGACATACCAACCAAACTGAATGAACCAATATAAAAAGACACTTCTGAGACCCGTCAGGAAAATCTGAATTCAGACTGGGAATTACCTAATATTCAGAATTATTAATTTTGCTAGATGTTATATTTGTATTGTGATTAATTTAAAAGCCTTTATCTGTTAAAATATATTAAAGTACTTACAAGCAAAATGATATGCTTGAAATTTCAAGGAGGTAAGGTTAGTGTTTGTTATACTATTCTCTCTACATTTGTGTTATGTTTGACATTTTCTGTTAAAAATGCAGTGAAAAGAAGTGCCACATTTCTGATTCTAACCTATGAACTTGCCTGGTCTGACAGATTAATCCACAGTTAAAGCAAGACTTAGATCGAAAAAAAATGAAATTTTTATATGAGAATAACTTGTCATTTACCTGCTTTCTTAGTTTGGATATGACACATAGGCAGCACAAGGTGGTGTCATGATTTCAGGGAAACAGGACACATACTCACTTGGCAGAGACTGGATCTGTGGTTAAAACCCATCCTTTATACTCCTTCTTCTCACTGGCTGTCACTTTGACCTCTTTGTAAATGTAATCTTGCCATTCTAAGGGGCTTTTCTTCATCCATTCATTCATGGTTGCCAGCTGGCTAGATTTAAACAACCACCAGTTCGGGTTAATATATATGTTCCACCCCAGCAGATGTCTCCATTCTAGAGGCAGTTACTTAACACAATTAAGTTTTAAACATAAGGAACTGATAGCATGGTTAGGGGAAAGAACACTTATTTTAAAATTAATTGAGAAACTAATTTTAAATATATTAGGAAATGACAATGTTTACAGTTCAGCCTGAATGCTACGGGGGCGCTGAGTCGCCGAAGAACGAGTCTGGGGTAACTCATCTAGTATACTTCCCATTCCATGCCCCAATCCCATTCCAGATCGCCTTCACTCTGGCTTTGAACTCTGTCCGGTGTGCTGAAACCTTATTTTCCTTCGATCAGAGGAGTTCACCCATCACTTTTAGCCGAAACTGTAAACTCCTCTGATATACACCCAGTCGCTGTCTGGCCATGCGTCTCTGGATCCAGCCACGGAGAAGCCTCCGTGCTTGTGACGTTTCCTCATAAAATGTTTGAGGATGCGCAGACGAGGGGGCATCAGTTAAGGTTCTAGAGCTCAGATTCCCTGGCCTGTACTGCAGCCGAACAACACATACAGTTATATTCAAACCAAGTGCTACTTAACGTTTAGCCCTTTACAAACAAGAAAAATACCAGTTACGACTCCGGAGAGCGCCCACTACTCAGCACCCACGATACGGCGAGTCTCTGGAGCTGAGCCCGTCTGGGACCAGCATGCCTTGCGCCGAGTGATAACTTCCTTCCCCCAGAATTCTCTGTTTTGTAGTCCTTGGCTTGGCCCCTCTCAGAGATTTCAGAGATCTGATAATGTACAGGAGAAGGGCTCTTGAAGCGGCTGACAATTTGTGTAACAGTAAGCCATCGTGTACGCTAGGGCGGCCACTCTCCACTGCCACGAAGGACGTTTCAAACAATCTTTTATTTATTAAAGAGGAAAAGTCTCCTGCCAACTCCTCATTCACAGTGGACTTGGAAATGAATGCACCTTTGCTATAGAATCAAAGCACATGGAGCTTATAAGTGCAGATCTGAATTCCTAAAGCTCTAAAAGTGTGAGGTGAAGGTGCCTTGGAGAGGAGCAGTAGGACCAAGGGAGTTCTTGTTTGTTTGATTTGTGTAGGGCGATTAAGATGCCTGCTCGTTTGGGATCGGTACAGTCCTGCGGTAGGTGCAGAAGCTGGGGAAAAAATGCACAGGATCGCCTTGAATTCCACCTACAGACAACTCACTATAAATCCCACCGGTGGAAAAGTGTAAAGGACTCTATACTACCACAGATTTCCGATCACGTAGTTAGTTGGCTTCTGACATGGTCCAGAATATTTTTTCAGAAATGTGAAATGAGTATTCGGTGGTAAATGTTGGGTTCCTGCAAATGTGAACACGAAGGGGGATTTACCACAACTAAATTAGAAGACTATCAAACCGTGGTGTAGAAAACCTGTGGAAAATTAATCAGCTTTTTCCTTACTGGAAACCCTGGTGTAGTGGTTAAGAGCCATGGCTGCTAACTGAAAGGTGGGCAGTTTGAATCCACCAGACGCTCCTTGGAAACCCCATGGGGCAGTTTTACTCCCTTCCAAAGGGTCGTTATGAGTTGGAATCGACTGGAAAGCAACGGGTTTGGTATTTCTCCCCCCCCTTTCTACTTGGGTTTTGAGTTCCACGTAATCCTTATATTGTTTTCTTATCGTCATCATTTCAAATAACCCTTTCCCTAACCTTCACTCATTGGATGATTGCATCAATATGGCTTTTAGTGGATTATATTAGATACTGCAAGTGAAGTTAGTTGGTTAGTTGCTGTCGAGTTGGCTCCGACTTATGGCGACATTACATACAGCCAGGGCTTTAAACCGGTTCAGTCATGGCCCAAGCGAAATTAGAACAGACCCAAATTTTTACAGATCGGGTGATCCCCTATGGTAACGGAGCCCTGGTGATGTAGTGGTTAAGAGTTCGGCTGCTAACCAAAATATTTGTAGTTCGAGTCCACCAGCCCATCCTTGGAAACCCTATAGGGCAGTTCAAGTCTGTCCTATAGGGTCGCTAAGTGTCGGAATCTACTGGACGGCGAGTTTGGTTTGTTTTTGGTACGTCACTGAAACAGGAAAGATTATGGGTCGAAGCCCGGGAATGAGAGTCTCAGAAGAGGTGTAGTGAGCCCCTTCAGAAGCCTCATGCATTACATTGGGTTATTGGCAAGACCGTGGACAGTGATGATGCACAGTTAAAGCAGCTTGGTAGGCCACCATCTTTCAGTGGGGCACTGCTGTTTCCCACTCTGCACAAAATCCTACCGACAAGAGATTTGGTTGCTATGCAAGGCATACACCACCCTTGTTTTCTAAGAGGGAGATGAAGTTTCTAGCAAGGCTTCAACCCACAATTTTTTCTCTTCCAGTTCGTTCTGGTTCACTCAAATTCTAAAACTTCAGGTCTGTTCTGGTTTTGCTTCCTCAGCCATCACTCAACCAGAAAGAACCAGTTCCAAGTCATGTGTATAACAAAATGAGACATTGCCAGTCCTGCATCATCTTCATGATCTTTAACGTTTGAGCTCATTGTTGTGGTAATTATGTCAATCCATCTCACTGAGGGTTTCCCTTATTTTTATTGACCGTCTACCAAACATGATGTCCTTTTCTAGCAGTTGGTCGTTTCTGATGATGTGTCCAAAGTAAGCAAGAGGACACTTCCTCATCCTTGTTTCTAAGGAACATTCTGGTTGTATTTCTTCTCAGACTGATTTGTTTGTTCTTCTGGTAGTGCCATGGTGTATTCAATATTCTTCGCTAACACCACAATTCAAATGCATCAATTCTTCTTCAGTCTTCTTTTTTCATTGTCCAGCTTTCTCATGCATATGAGACTAGTGAAAAGACCATGGCTTGAATCAGATGCACATTAGTTATCAAAATTACAACTTTTTTTTTTAACACTTTAAAGAGATCTTTTGCAGAATATTTGCCCGATGCAATATATCATTTGATTTCTTGACTATTGCTTCCATGATTGTTGATACAAGCAGAATGAAACCCTTGACATGAACACTTCAACTTTTTCTCCATTTATCATAATGTTGCTTATTGGTCTAGTTGTGAAAATGTTTGTTTTCTTTACGTTCAGGCATAATCCATACTGAAGGTTGTAGCCTTTGACCTTCACCAGTAAGTGCTTCAGCTCATCTTCATTTTCAGCAAGCAAGGTTCTGTCATTGCAGGTTGTTAATGAGTCTTCCTGCAGTCCTGATGCTATGTTCTTCTTCATATAATCCACCTTCTTGGATTATTTGTTCAGCATACAGATTGAATAAGCACGGTGAAAGGATACAACCCTGCCATGCATCTTTTCCAATTTTGGACCAGGCAGTATCCCATTGTTCTGTTCAAACAACTGCCTCTTGATCCATATATAGATTTCACATGAGTACAATTAAGTCTTCTGGAATTCCCATGCTTTGTATGTTAGCCACAATTTGTTCTGATCTAAACAGCTGAATGCCTTCACGTGGTCAATAAAACACAGGTAAACATCTTTCTGGTATTCTCTGCTTTCATCCAAGATCCATCTGACATCAGTAATGATATCCTTCATTCCATGTCCTCTTCTGAATCCAGCTTGAACTTCTGGAAGTTCTCTGTTGATCTATAGATTCAGTAGTTTTTAAATTATCTTCAGTAAAATTTTGCTAGCAGTAATATCAGTGATATTGTTCAATAAATTTTGTATTTGATTTGATCACCTTTCTTCAGAATGGGCACAAATATGGATCTCTTCCAGTTGGTTGGCCAGGTAGCTGTCTGTTACGGATTGAACTGTGTCCCCCAAAAATGCGTGTCAGCTTGTCTAGGCCATGATTCCCAGTATTGTGTGATTGTTCACCATTTTGTCATCTGATGTGATTTTCCTATGTGATGTTAATGAGGTGTGATTAGTGGCAGTTATGTTAATGAGTCAGGACTCAATCTACAGGATTAGGTTGTGTCTTAAGTCAATCTCTTTTGAGATATGAACAAAAGAAGCAAGCAGAGAGACAGGGGGACCTCATACCACCAAGAAAGTAGTGCCAGAAGCAGAGCACATCCTTTGGATCCAGGGTCCCTGCACTGAGAAGCTTCTAGACCAGGGGAAGATTGATGACAAGGACCTTCCTCCAGAGCCAACAGAGAGAGCAAGCCTTCCCCTTGAGCTGGCGCCCTGAATTCAGACTTCTAGTCTCCTAGACTGTGAGAGAATAAATTTCTCTTTGCTAAAGTCACCTACTTGTGGTATTACTGTTATAGCAGCACTAGATAACTAAGACACTGTCTTCCAAATTTCTTGACATAGACAAGTGAGTGCTTCCAGTATTGCATTCATTTGTTGAAGCATCCCAAATGGTTTTCCATCAATTCCTGGAGCCTTGTTTTATGCCAATGGCTTCAATGCTGCTTGAACTTCTCCATTCAGTACCAGCAGTCCTGGATCATATGCTACCTCCTGAAATGTTTGAATGTCAACCATTTCTTTTTGGTACAGTGACTGTGTGTTCCTTCCATTTTCTTTTAATGCTTTCTGTGTCATTCAATTTTGCTCATAGAATCCTTCATGTTGCAACTCGAGGCTCGAATTTTTTCTTCAGTTCTTTCAGCTTGAGAAATAACAATCGTGCTCTTCCCTTTCGGTTTTCTAACTCCAGGTCTTTGCACATTTCATTATAATACTTTACCAAGCTGCCCTTTGAAATCTTCCATTCAGCTCTTTTACTTCATCATTTCTTCTATTCACTTTAGCTACTCTGAACTTAAGAACAAGTTTCAGAGTCTCTTTTGACATCCATTTTGATCTTTTCTTTCTTGCCTGTATTTTTAATGACCTTTCACTTTCTTGGTGTATGGTGCCCTTGATGTCATCTGGTCTTCAGTCATTCTTGAGATCATCTCTAAATTCAAGCAAGATGTATTCAAAGCCATACTTTGGCTCTCAGGGATTTGCTTTAACTTTCTTCAGCTTCAGTTTGAACTTGTATACGAGCAATTGATGGTCTGTTCTGCAGTCAGCCCAAGACTTTGTTTTGACTGATATTGAGCTTCTCCATCACTTTTACACAGATGTAGTCAATTTGATTCCTGTGTAATCCATCCAGTGAGGTCCACATGTATAATCGTTGACAGTGTTTTTGAAAAAAAGTATTTCCAATGAATAGGTTATTGATCTTACAGAATTCTATCACACAATCTCCAGTGTAATTTCTATCATACGGGCCATATTTTCCAACTATTGATTCTTTTTCTTTGTTTCCAATCACCACTAATTATCAATGCATCTTGATTGCATGTTCAAAAAATTTCTGACTGCAGCAGTTTATAAAAATCTTCAATTTCTTCATCTTTGGCACTCACAGTTGTTGTATAATTTTGAACAATGGTCGTATTCACTGTTCTTCCTTGTAGGTGTATGATATTAACCTACCACTGACAGCATTGTATTTCAGGATGGATCTCGAAATGTTCTTTTTAACGATGAATGCAATGCCATTGCTCTTCAATTTGTCATTCCTGGCATAGTAGACCATATGATTATCAAATTCAAAATGGCCATTACCAGTCCATTTCAGCTTACTAACAACTAACACCTAGGATATCCATCTTCAAGCATTCCATTTCATTTTTGATGACTTCCATTTTTCCTTGATTCATACTTTGTACATTTCCACGTTCTGATGACTAATGGATATTTGCAGCTGTTACATCTCATTTTGAGTTGTGCCACATCAGCAAATGAAGGTCCTGAAGGCATTACTCCAACCATGTCATTAAGATCAACTCTACTTTGAGGAGACAGCTCTTCCCCAATTGTATTTTGAGTGCCTTTCAACCTGAGCACTCTATCAGACATTGTTCTGTTGCTATCCATAGGGTTTTCATTGGCTAATTTTCAGAAGTAGACCACCAGACCTTTCTTCCTAGTCTGTCTTAGTCTGGAAGCTCTGTTGAAACCTGTCCACCATGGGTGACCTTGCTGGTATTTGAAATATCTGTGGCATAGCTTTCAGCATCACAGCAATATGCAAGCCACCACAGTACAACAAACTAACAGAAAGGTGGTACATTTAGGGCTATATTGTATTGCTTTAACTAATTATCTAACTCCTATGAAACTCATTTTACCTGTGAGAAAAAAGAGATTAATGACATAGTTCTCAATGTTGCCATAAACACTAAATATCTCTAAGACAAACATCTTAGTGACTGGTAACAATATATCTTGGTAGAAAATAATCAACATCATCATTAGCCACAGCAATAAATCAGTATCATCTTCATCACCAATTAGCCTGTAATCAAGGATTAGGTATATATATTTCTTGTCACAATTTTTTAAAAGTAAGCTCATTGAGTGTGACAAATTTAATGTGTTTTGCACATGGGAAGGACATGAATTTTGAGAGGCTAAAATGTGGAATATTATGAATTGAATTGTGTACCCCCAAAATATCTACAAAGAGATAATATAGGCAATCTGGTTACAGCCTGCCTTCTCAACCACTGTACCATACTAACTAAATAACTGCGGGATAACTCAAGTGCAGCTGTTCACTTAAAAGTCTATTTCTAATACATGAGGAAAATGTTCTTGAAAGCAAGCATTTCTAAATCTGCAATATTAGTTCCTCATTGTGTTCCAGCTGGTTATTTGGATACGCCAAAGCATTGAGATAATTTTGCTGATGTGTTTTAGCAGGTCAAACTTTCCAGGCAATTCTTATTCTGGTGTAAAGGAAAACATTTGATCTCATAAAAACTCAATCCAAAAGAGCTATAGCCAATTCATTACAACGGGTCATTTGCATTTTAAGCCTTCCATCTATACTGCAGGGGGCATTGGTGGTTAAGTGGTAGAATTAACACCTTCCATGCAGGAGACCAGGGTTCAATTCCCAGCCAATGCACCTCATGCACAGCTACCACCCATTTGTCAGTGTAGGCTTGTGTGTTGCCATGATGCTGAAAAGGTCTCAGCAGAACTTCCAGACTAAGACAGACTAGGAAGAAATGCCTGCCAACCTACTTCTGAAAATCAGTCAATGAAAATTCAATGAATCACAATGCTCCAGTCCCAACTGATCATGGGGATTGTGCAGGACTGGGCAGCATTTTGTTCCTTTGTGTATGGGGTCACCATGAGTTGGGGGGCAACTCGAAGGCAGCTAACAACAACAGGGGCCAGTATGCCATATAAGGATGTGCAGATGAGTTTAATATGAACTGCAGCAAGTTAAAAAAAATTATTTTTTAAATCTGAAAGCTTTTAAATAGGCTTGCTCTTTCTTCTTCACAACTAGTTTCTGCCACTGTTATTGTTTACACTTGGCTTCTTCACATATTGCATTGCCTGATCTCTACAGGAATTTGAGTTTGCAACTCTGGAATAGTTCCTACTATAAATAAGTATATTTGCAGAGTAAATTATACCTCAATTTCTTATGAGTTTGGTGAAAATCAGCCTCACTGTGTCTAGTCAACCTCTGGGCCAGTAAGGGCCAGAACCTAGGCTATAGGTAGTGACTTCACCAAGGTACTGTCATTCACAAGATTTTTTTATTAGACCCCCCCCCCCCAATACAGACTTCGTCAGGTGATACTTTGACCTCCTTGTTGCCTTGCCTCTCCCTTTAAAAAAAACACTTTATTGTATTTTAGGTGAAATTTTACGTAGCAAATTAGATTCCTCTTTAACAATTTTTATACAAATTGTTCCATGAAATTGGTTACATTTTTCACAATGTGCCAACATTCTCATTATTTCAATTCTTTTTGTTCTGTTTCCATTAATCTAGCTCCCCTGCTTAGGGTAAATGTTGACCATTTGGTCTCATATAGCTGATTATTTAAGGGAGCACAGTATTCATAGGTGATATTGTTTATTTTATAAGCCTATCTATTATTTGGATGAAAGGTGATCACTGGGATTGGCTTCAGTTCCAAGTGCAAAGGATATCTTAGGGCAATAGTCTTGGAGGTTCCTCTAGTCTCTATCTGTCCAATAAGTCTGGCCTTTTTTAGGAATTTGCGTTTTCTACATTTTTCTCCCTTTCTATCCAAGATCTTCTGTTGTGTCCCTGGTCAGAATGGTCATAAGCGGTAGCTGGGCACCATCTAGTTTTTCTTGTCTCAGGCTAGATGAGGCCGTGGTCATGTGAGCAGTTAGTCCTGTGGACTAGTTTCTTCTCTTTTGTTCCAGACAAGTACAGACCAATAATTGTATCTTAGATGGCCACTCACAAGCTTTTAAGACTCCAGATGCTATTCACCAAACTAGGATGTGGAACATTATCTTTATGAACTATGTTATGCCAATTGACTGAGTTGTCCCACAAGACTACGGTCCCAAGCCTTCAAACTCGGTAAACCAATCTTGTGCGGTGTTTCATTATATCTAGGAAGTATCCGTAACTGTGCCCTCTATGTTGGTTATTATAGATATGAATATATATGCAGCTCACATAAACATGTATGCCTATATATACAGATACACCTGATATCAGCAATGATTTTCAATCGCCTCGTATGCATGCGAAAGCTGGACAATGAATAAGGAAGACGGAAGAAGAATTGACACCTTTGAACTATGGTGTTGGCTAAGAATATTGCATATACCATGGAGTGCCAAAAGAGCAAACAAATGTCTTGGAGGAAGTACAACCAGAATGTTCCTTAGAAGCAAGGATAGCGAGACTACGTCTCATATACTTTGGATATGTTATCAGGAGGGATCAATCCCTGGAGAAGGACATCATACTTGGTGAAGTAGAGGGTCAGTGAAAAAGAGGAAGACCTTTAACAAGACAGACTGACACTGTGGCTACAACAATGGGTTCAAGCATAGCAATGATTATGAGGATGGCGCAGGACCGGGCAGTGTTTCATTCTGTTGTACATATGGTCACTATGAGTCAGTACTGACTTGATGGCACCTAACAAAAACAGATACACCTATACATGCACACCCGTATACTCACATGTGCCTTCCTATACACATATATGTATACATATCTGCCTATGTAACCATACACATATTTTTTGGTTGTTGTTATTGTTGTTGCAAAATTGTATGTTGCAGCATTTACTGAAATTGTCCCTTATTCTTGCATACTTCTTAGTGTCTTCATTTACCTTGGACAAGTTGTGCAGACTTCACCCATACCGGGTACTGCCTTTCTCATCACCAAAAATAACAAGGGTTTACTATCTAGAAAGTGATTATTCCTCCCTCCCCTACCCATCCCTGGTAACCATCAAAGAACATTGCTTACTGTGTGTCTACCTATTCTTGACTTTTTATAAAAGTGAGACCATACAATATTTGTCCTTTTGTGATCACCTTACCCCCTTTCTAACTGAGCCCTTTCTGATAGCCTCTTAGGGAAGAGAAAGTCTTTTTGTCTCTTTTCTGTTTGTTGCTCCTCCTCCCTGCCTGGCATAGACATAAGGCCTGGAGGTGAGACAGCTTCCGTCCTCCATAAGGAGACATGCATGAGAGGGAAGCCTGATGGAGCAAAACAGTAAAAGAAAGATAAAAAGAGCCATATCAGCCCTGGGCTACCCACCTCCAGATTTCTTTTATTTGGGACAAATAAACTCCTATCTGTATGAGCAATTGTTTTTGGTGTTTCTACCCCAACAAAACTCTTTCATAAGTTATCTCCCTAGTAAGATGCTAAGGACAGAGACCATACTTTATTTATCTTTATATCCTCAGTAGCTTGTTCAGTGTCTGCATATAGTAGGCCTTCAACACATATTTGTTTAACCAATTAATAAATGTGCTATTCACTGGAAGAAGCTGGGACATTTTACAAACACAAAACTGCAATTTAGACAGGGAGTCACTAATTTCATAAGTGACCAGGATAAGTAAGAACAGAAAAAGCAAATTAACACATCAAGTTTTAGGTTGGCAAAGCTTTTTCTAAGAAAATCATTTAAATTCTCTCCGCTGAAGAATACTTATTCTTAGTAGTACTAGTGATAACAATAATGTATATTAACTTAATTAACACAGCAAACCCAAGAGATAGGTACTATTATTATCCCTATTTTACAGTTGAAGAAACTGAGGCACAGAGGCCAAGGTCATACAGCTAGTTAATGGTATATCTAGGATACAAATCTAGGCAATCTGGTTACAGCCTGCCTTCTCAACCACTGTACCACACTAACTAAACAATTGGGGGATAACTCAAGTGCAGCTGTTCACTTAAAAGTCTATTTCTAATATATGAGGAAAATGTTCTTGAAAGCAAGCATTTCTAAATCTGCAATATTAGTTCCTCATTGTGTTCCAGTTGGTTATTTGGATACGCCAAAGCATTAAGATAATTTTGCTGATGTGTTTTAGCAAGTCAAACTTTCCAGGCAACTTCTGCTTCAGAGGGTGACTGTAACGAGGATACACTCAGCTAGACTTAATGATCTGGAAATTAGGGACAGATTTTATCCCTAAGACAGGTAAGACAAAACCAAGCTCCATCCCTACAGCTGCTATTTGCTCTGAGATTAGCCCACTAACGATGGCAACGGGATAGATGCAAGCAGTTTAATTATGCTGAAGAAATGGTCTTAATAGGAATTACACCTTTGGGAAGGCATTCTTACAGGGTAACTCAACTCTGCCTCCAGAAGACTCATCTTTTCTTTTCTTCTACCCAAGTGCATCTATTCCCTTGGCCTACTCCAGTTATCCTCAAAGGGTTTATGTGTGTGTTCAGAGGGGTGGCCCTCCTTTCTTGTCTATCCTGTAGCAAATTATAAACCCATATTTGAGCTTCCTAATGAAAAAAAGTGAAAAAAGACTAGTCTACTGAACATAAAGGGAAAAAAAAAATCCTCTTTGGTATAGAAGGCCGATGAAAACAATTACGTGTGAGGGAAAATCATCCAGAGTTGATGCTATTCCGTGCATCATTGTGTTGTTTTGAAATGTAAGTAAGACACTAGGAGTCATTTTTTAAAAACAATTAAAAACATTTACAAGGCACTGGGATCCCTAATGTAGCTACTTTCCCTATATTATTTGGGAGTTGTACACACTGTTTAGTGAGATGTTAAAAAATATGTTTCAAGTTTTTGAAAATGTGTAACATAATTGATAAATTCATAACATATCAGAGAGTATATTTTATAATGTTCATCATTTACCTTTTCAAGAATATGCATCACTCCATTTGCCAGTCTAAGATATCCCTTTTATAGCTATGGAAGAGGAAAGAGGGAAAAGCAATGGCCAATTCCTTTTCTTCCTTGTTACTTACTGGTCAGATTCTTAGCAACTGCATCTTCTTGGATTTCTTCCACAAAGAAATGATTTTTCTACCCGTTCGTTACCTTGCTTTTTGTGGATGTTTCATTCATACTATACTAAACCACACTTCATGCTTAAATTACTTTTCTTTGGCTATTTGTTCAAGGGCTATGTGAGCCCTAAACTGTAATCGGGCTTCCATGGCATAGTCTTTGTAGTTTTTAATCTTGTCTAGGCTCCTTATTGCACTGACATAATCTCTTTTTAGATAGTACAGGATTCCCAGTTCATAGTGAGTATATGGCGCCAAATAGTGATCATATTTTAACAACTTCTCCTTTTGAATGACACGATTAAAGTAGTGCTCGGCCCTCGAATATTTGCCTAAGTGTTTCAGACATAGGCCTTTCAGTAAATGTAACAAACTTATATCGTCCGTGCCGTACTCTTTGCTTGGATTTTCTTTTAACATGTCTTCTCCTTTGTCAATTAGTGATAGCCAGCTTGAAATAAGGTCTAGTCTTTTGCTCATGACTCGGAAACCACTCCAGGCATAAAGGAATTCCAGAATAGGCTGTGCTGTAAACCAGCCAGAAGTAGTAGCATAGCGCTCACCCTTCTCAGCAACAAACTTTTCTATTGGCACAGAAGTTCCAAAAATTTTTATTCTCAGGCTATCCACTTTTAAAAAGAGTGCGTTCATGTCTTCATTTACTGAATCAGAAGGAAGCAGGGCCAGTAATATAGCCTTACTGTACATATAGATTGCCTTGGACCACCTGCTGTGTTGAGACAGTAGACTGGCATAGTAGTAAGCTTCCTTCCACTCCTGCAGAAAAATGTGGCACCACATGAGTTCCCAGTAACAGAGGTGATGAATCTGCTTCCATTCATTCTGAACAAAAATGCACTTCCGTAATTTAAGCTGTGCAAATTCAAAATGTCCTTTCAGCATTCTAAAACGTGCATGGAAAAATATAAGTATGACACAGTTTGGAAATTTCTCAAGGTAGGTTAGGAAGAGACCATCTATAGCAGAATTGTAACCCTTTTCAACACCAAAAGCTATATAAATATAATTGTAATAAAAGAGTAGAGTAAAAGCACTTAAGATATTATTTATATGGCTTTCAGATGCACTCTCATGAAGCAAAGCCAAGCCTACCTCCCTATCACCAAAATACCCAACAATATTGAGTAATTTAAGTGTCTTTGGTGGCACAAGTGATAACATCAAATTGAATGCTCCAAGTCCAAATTTTATTCCTCCAACCAGGTGTTTGTGGGCTTTGCTTTCGTAGTTAGAAATCTGTATTAATACTTGTTGACAGTCTTTGTATATTTGGTAACTTAACCCAACGTTAATCCCGCTTTTGAGAAAACCGAGCAGGGTGTCATCCTGTATAAATGTTACTGCAGATTTCAAGATCAAACACTCAGCATAGCAGATTTCTGCATGCAATTCCTCTTCCTGGATATCTTTTATCCCCTGTTTAGTCACTATACGAGCCAAAGATGTCATCCTAGATTTTCTTCGGAAACTGTTACAGGTTTTCAAAGCATTCTTTGTGGTGGTCATTCCAATCTGTATATCATATGGCTCAAAAGTCAGAATGGCCTTGACAACCATAAGGATATCATAAATTAGGGCATGGTACATGCTGTTATGAGACCATGGATAAATGAGATTTATGGCATCTGAGAATCTGTTATTTAGAAATAAGTACAATCCAGTTGTGCATTCTTCCAGGGAAGATATTAAATTCATTGTTGTTGCTACAGGGATAACTTCATAGGCATCTTCAAACTTGTCCTCCTTATCACTTCCATTTTTACTGCCAGCAAGTGACATATTTGCTTCCCCACTTCAGGGATAGGAAATGCCTGAAGTGGAGCAATGTGGTTGCAATGAAGGTAGCTCAGCCTGAGGTGTTGCTGTTACAATGGAAGCAAGAAAATAAGCAAACATCGGTGAAGTGCAGCATCAGGGTATTCTCATCTATGTCAGGCAAGGAAACAAGAAAAAAAGACAATTTTATTTACCCAGAAGATGCATTCCTGAAAAGTTCAAATCATTTGGAATGTACTAAAGGAAACATGCCCTGTTAAGACACTGTGAAGTAAACTTTTGGTAAACAGAGGCGTTCTTTTGTAACCATCCCTCCAATATATCATTTTCATAATGTGGTATATACTGTGGTAGCTGTACAATTTCTCTGTAGGAAGGCCTTGGGGACAAGAATCTGGCTAGAAAAGGGAGTGTATTTGCATAGCTCTTGTGTTAAGACTGAAATCCTTTGCCGTTGACGCAATTCTGATTCCGACTCATAGCAGCCCTATAAAACAGAATAGAACTGCCCTCATAGGGTTTCCAAGGAGCGACTAGTGGATTCCAACTGCCGACCTTTTCATTAGCAGCCGAGTGCTTAACCACTCCACCACAGGTCTCCATTAAGACGGAGGAAGGGGTGAATTGTCCACACCAAAGAATAAACATTATGGGGGTGAAAAATCCACCCCATGCTATTTTTAGTACCACCACTGGTACTTGCAGGTATTTTCACTGAAAACCAAGTCTTGATGAAATATTACGGCCAGTGGTATAGGACTTTGGACATGGAAAGTGCTGTATAAACTAGAAAGATTTCCTAGGATTGCTGCAGGTAGAAGAAAAAACCAAATTCAAATGTAAAACTTGTTATCACACCATTACTATTTTGGTGGGAAATCTTTTTTCCTACTGGGAGTCATTTAACATCTGGAAGGCGTCGGAGTGGGCAAAATTGAAGACCAATTACAAATAGCAAACTACCTAATTTATTCATGAAAACATATAGGTTCAATTCATCCATTTTAAAAGCAGAAAGAGCAAACATGACATTTCAATCAGTAATTATTACAACACTTAAAAATACTTTAAAGCATACTTTAAAATGCACTTGAATTCTGTATTTTGATAAGTTAAAAGACAGGAGGGGGAGGTAAAGGAGAGGAAACTAATCAAAGGAAAAGAAGAAGAAAAAGAGAGCGATGCAGATTTCTACACAGAGGAAGACAGAAAACCAACAGGGAAAACACACTGTTAAATACGAGAAAAAGTGATAGAGAGGACAGCCTCAAAGGTGTTATTTTAGGTATATTGCTTGTTTTACACCTTAAGGTTCAGCTATGTTTCAGGGTAGTAGTAGCTGTAATCACTACCCTTTGAAAAGCTAAGTTACTGATTCATTTATTCGAAAGGCTCAGTTCTGAGTGGAAAAGCCACGCAGCCCTTAAGAAGGGAAATTATAATTGGGGAAGCAAAAGCAGTGGCTCGATCAGGGTTAGCTGGAGAAACCTAGGTGAGAACAGGATTCAACCCAAGGACAAAGTTTCCGTTCCTCTGCATCTAAACCAAGATGCTTTCAAATTATATAGCCTATAGAATCTCTATTCTTCTTTCAAGACAGCTCAATTTTTTACTTTTCTGAAGACTTGTTGAAGTCTGTCAGACCAGTCACTCCCATGGCATTTGGTAGAGGTCTCTGTCAATGTTCACCTCACTGCATTGTGATTAGTTATACACCTCCCTTCATCACTAGCCTTGGAGCTGCAAAGCATAATCTGTGCTTTATTCCCAGTTCTAGCACGCTCCCCTGTGCAAAGTAGGCAGTAATAAATGTTTGGTAGATGAATTTAGGTGGCCACAAAATATTTCTAGAAACTCCTTGAAAGTAAGTTGTGAAGTCATGTTTCTACCACATAATTGCCAGATTCCCTAATCCCAGAGAGCATACCTGTAACAAGATTTGTTTTTTTTTTTCCTTCTAATATTTTTAGATTGTGATTCTTTTTTTTTTTTTTTAACCCATCTCAAGGATTAAGATGTCTATAGCCAATGATATACATTTTCAGAGATGTTGTGGGAGAGCTTATTCCCCTGTATTAATGTTCCCATGAGGCGACTTTTCTACAGGAATACCTTTAACTGGAGAGTTGACTTCTGGCTTGAAGTTGATAGAAGGAACTGGGAAAGTGTGGCTCAATGCCTTCTGGTTTCCTTGTTTTGGAGCCAGCCTGTCCAAAGTCTGAAGAGAAACAACAGGAAGAGTCTGTTTTCTGGAGGCTTGCGCCTGCAGGGGAAAGCTGCCATTGTCCAGCCGTGTCTGTCACCAGGTGGGCAAATCTAACTCCAGGATGGAGCATTAGTCAGCCCACTTGGCAACACATCTAAAGCCACAGTCACTATCAACTTCATCAGTGAAAAAGGTCATGTTTTGATCTCCTTCAGCCGAACTCCTGCATCTCACTGGTTCTGAACTCAGGAGAGGAAAAAGGATGTCATTTATTGACCCCTAAAACCCATCTCCTCCTCCTTCTACTCTTGCATTCTCCACCTGGACTCTCTTTCCTACTCTCCTCCCATATCCACCAGTGACCAAATCCTGTCAATTCTACCTTGACAGGTAGAGTAAGGTGCTTCTCTCCTTTCCTACAAATCACCCTGGGCATACTTCTCTAACAATGCTTATTACAATGCTTACTACTTATGTTACACAGCACAGGCTCTCAAGTTGGATTGCTTAGGTTTGAATTCTGATTCTTCCACTTACTTGACACTACTGTCCTTCTATTAAAGAGTACCTCTATCAAGAAGAGGTTGAGAGAATTAGGTGAGTTAATATATGTGAAACAGAACAGTAGCTGGCATACATAGTAAACACTAAATAAGTACTATTATTTTGTACCTCCCCCATAGCCTAGCATATAGTAGGTGCTTACTGAATTGCTTAAAATGAGGTTTAGGGTGCAGACTGCTTTGTATAGGAAGCCCAAAGCTTTTAGTTACAAAGTCACACTGATGTTGCTCTTCTTTTGCTTACAATGTTCTGTCTGAAATGTCTCCCCTACCTGTATCTGCTTGCCTAAGTTTTCCTTTTTCTTTAGGGATTCAGCTGAATTCTTCCTTCCTATTCCGTGAGGGCTTCTTTCATCACTCCAGTTCAGAATGCGTTCTCCCCCCACCCCCACTTCTTATAATATTGTCTGTACGACACAGTTTATTACCTATCATGTGTCGTTAGTCTTTTCAGGTACATATCTTCACCCTACAAAGTGGTGAAATGGTTTTCCATATAGGAGACTCTGGATAAATATATATTTTTTACTATGAAGAGAATAACAGTAGAAATGTTATCTAGAATTTACAATCAGTGCTATACTCTTTAGGTTGTATGTCCTTCGTAAGTCTAAATTTGTGAAGCTATGGTTGATGTTATTTCACTTACTGAGCCAACAACTGTCTCCTAAAGTTGCTAAATCTAATAGACACTTTTCATTTCTTATCTCAGTCTTTCTATAGCCCCTGACATCCTTGGTTAGTCCGCTTCTTAAAATTCTTTCTACCAGGAAACCTTAGTAATTTTTACTGGCTGGAGCTCAGCATTGCATGGAGAAAGGTAGCTGGGTAAGAGATGAGGCTAGGGAGAGAAGCAGAGACCAGATCTTGACAAGGCCATGTATGCCAACCTGAGGAGACACTGAAGAATTCAAGTGGGGACAGAAAGAAAGAGAGGAGAGAAAAAGTGAATGAGAGAGAAAAATCTCTTTATTTGGAAAGATCATTCTGGTGAGGAGACGAGATTGGGGGAGGCTAATATTGAGCCAGGAAGACCAGTCAGTTAGAGGGCTTGAGTAAGGTGGAGAGGGACAGGCTGAAGATACAGAAAAGAACAAGTCAATAAGTAGGAGGCATAAGAGGATGCACAGAGCACAGGTAAAGGGAGGAGTGGCCTCGGACAGGAAAACCTTGAAAATGAAAACCTCCTCCAATAACATAGAAGAGACTGCCTTCCTTTCATTCATTTAACACGTACTTAATTAAGCTCTGTTTATATGCAGAGCATTGCTCTTGGTGCTGGGATGGAGCAGTGAACAAAACAAAGACCCTGCTTTCATGGAATTGATTTTGTTGGGAGAAGGCCATTGTGGTGGAGGGAAAGAGGCAACAAATAAATGAATAAACAACATGTTAGCTGTTGAAATATGCTATGAAGAATAATAAAACAGGGTAAGGTCAAATAAGGAATTTAGAGATGGGGTGTGAAGTGCCTGCTATTTTAAGTAGGGGAGTCAGGGAAGGCCACCCTGACATGGTGACTTTCAAGCAGAGTTGGAAGATGTGCTTGATGTGAAAGTCTCTTTCAAATCTAAGATAAGTGAACGTCCTGTGTTTCCATGATCCCTTGCGCTTACCTCTAGGTCAGCACTTGCTATATGTATTTTCAAATGTCTGTGTTCTGACTGTGTGTCTTTTCTGTCTTTCTTTATCACCAAGTACAATGATTAGCACTTAGTCATTAAACTAAATTAATATTTATTGAATGGCTATGACAATTCTCAAATTATGTATACTAAAATAAAATCCAGATTAAGTAATCATTTAACTGTTACATATGGATGAATACAAAGGATTGATGTCCTTAATACAGAAAAAGTTCCTACAAACTGGTAAAATAGAATACCCCATCAGAAAAAATCAGCAAATGACATAAACAAATTGCCAATAAGCATAATGTTCAACCTCACTATAAATCAACAAAATGCAAATTAAAAATAAAATATCTATTTTTTTACATCAAATTGCCAAATAAAAAAGATTATAACTGTTGAGTATGATTATAAGGTACAGAGAACCAAATACTCTTGCAGATTTGTTGGTGGCTGTGTAAATGGGAGCAACCTTTTTGGAGAGCAATTTGACAACAGGGTTTAAAAGCTTGTAAATTTTTCACTCTTTGGCCTAGAAATTTCACTTATGGAATTATTCTAAAGAAATAATCAGAGATGTGCATGAAAAACTATACAAGTTATATTCATTTCAGTATTATTTATAATATAAAAAAATGAAAGCAATCTAAATTTCTTACAACAGAGGATACTCATGCCTGGAACGCTATGCAAATATGATAATGTTGTACAACAACATTTAATGACTTGGAAAATTGTTTAAGGTGTAATGCTAAGTAACAAGAGCAGATTTTTAAATTTTATTTTTTGTTGTTGTTAATATACACCGCAGAACATACACCAATTCAACAATTTCTACAGGTACAATCGAATGATATTGATTACATTCTTCGAGTTCTGCAACCATTCTCACCCTCCTTTTCCAAACAGTTCCTCCCCATTAACATAAACTCACTGCCCCCTTAGCTTCCTATCTAATTTTTCAAGTTGCTGTTGTCAGTTTGATGTCATATAGATAGTTCTTAAAAGAGCACAATGCTCAAGGCAGACATTCTTTACTAATTAAGCTAAATTACTGTTTGATTTAAAGAAGACTTCTGGGGATATTTTAACAAAATTACATGATCCAACTCCTCCCTCCTCACCCCCAAAGAGGTGATACATGCATAAATAAAAACTGGAACTATATATTTGAGAATATTAATAATGGTTATATCTGAGTGATGGGATTATGGATAATTTTTTTTTTTTTAAATATTTTATTGTACTTCAGGTGAAGGCTTACAGAACAGATAGTTTCTCATGTAACAGTAACACACATGCTGTTTT